GCTCGTGATTTCTCGAAAAAAGAAAAAAAAAAAGAAGAAGAAGAAGAAGAAGAGAAACGAGAAGAAAAATCAATATCGAAGACATACTTCGCGCCTGACGTAATCTCCTTTGCCGTAATCTTCTCCTGATACCCCGACGATCCTGCGGGATTTGTATATGCTCCGGCTCGCGATTCGCAAACTGTGAAATACGAGAATTGAACGGGGAAAGGGGGATTGGCCCGCGGTTTCGATCATTGCAGGATTAAAGGCAGAGAATTCCTGTCCTCGATGAAAGGAGTCAGACACTCGTGACGAAAATGATATGATACGAATTACGCGATGTTTGCGTAAAAAGACGATCTTCGACTAATTCCGAGAATTTCATTCGCTATTTTTTATATTTTCATAGTTGACTGACAGAGAGCAGTTTACGTTGTTCTTCTTGATCCAATTATCATTGCTAAGCAACATCTGTTGATGGAAAAAAAACATACGAAAAATTTGTTACTTTGGATCGTTTCGTTGGTTAATAATCGCGGAGAACAAACATTTTTCCAATTGCAAGTGTGTGATGAAACCGAACGCGATCGATTGCTAATTTCAGCCAACAACTCCCAGCAATATTTACACACGTGCAATTCATACGATGCATTAGAATACGACATACGTGTGAATTTAATAAACAACGCATTAGAACGATATACGTACGAACAGTTAAGTTCGTAATGCAGTCGATGATGAACAGTGGAACAATCAAAACGATCGTTATCCCACTACGATGGTAGTGCAGAAGCGTTAATCGCGAGACAAGGGTAGAAACAAGCCTACCGATCCCCCGCTAGGAGAGTTCTGTGAAACCAGGAAACGGATTAGACGAGCTCTCTCCGCTTGCAGGGCCCGGCAAGCGGAAAATTAAGATGATTACCTATGAAATGAAGCGATGGCTAATATCAAGCTCTTGCCGGGAACTTTCCTTAATGACCGTGCGAAACGATCATTAGCAATCGTTAGTTGCCCATCCGATTGTCTGCATACCGAACGAAATAGGGCAGCGGTAACGAGATCGAAGTTCCTCAGGAACAAATTACGCTCAGGCCGATTTAAATATTTGTAAATCACTGCCTCGAGAGTTTGTCCTCTTTCATTTGAAATATGGTTTATTTGTACTATATTGGTTGTAACATTTCCAATCTCTTGGATGATATATAATACTGCAATTATTATAATTTCAAGTTTAGAATCGGTATATCTCTCGAGCGTAGACAAAAACTCAGTGACTTGGAAGCAGAATTAATTTCTTGCCAAACGCTTCGCATTCATTGTTCGAGAAGTTCGAAACTGCAAAGCACACGCGTAACACGAAGGAAGTTTGCTGATTGCTCAGCAAAAAAAAAGAAAGGAAGCGTTATAAAACTAAGAAAGAAAGTTAGATTCACATCTCCCCCCCTCCCTTTTTTTTAAAATCTGCAATTTTCTCGAGAAAACGTCAAAGAATTAAATCCACAGTGACGTGAAACGAAACGTATTTCGTGCACGGTGTAACACGTTAGAAACGTGTCACTGGGCGCAATTTTGTTTCGCGATACTTTCGAGCGAGCATCGGCGAGTCGGTCACAGGAAGCGGAAGCGTCTATGCGACACTGTCCAGCCGGAAGCGATGGTTAACCGAGCGTCAAGCCCTTCCCATTCTTCGCGTATGAAAAATGACGGGGACGTATTGGTCAGAGT